ATTTTAGGTGCCCACCAGTTTATACTGCATTTTACAGTCTAGAAGGCAATTTACTATTAACTGGCAATTACATACAGAATGATTGTTAATTCTGCTCCTAAGTGCTAGCTGCTTGAAAATTGTTATCTCTCTCTAATTTTTGACCTTCTTACAACAGGGGTGAGGTACGCTGGGAATACAAAGGACTAGTAGAGAAGAGCTGGACATGTCATTTGTGACTCATTCTTTTAATTCACCGTGCTAATCAACTGAACTGCCACAATCTCCCAAGGTAATTGTATCTTTATAATAGTTGAAAGCAGTGGGCAAAAAGGCATGGATAGATGGGGAAAGGCCTTCCCTTTGCCTGCTGAGAAACAGCGCGATACTCCTTCTGCGAGAGACTAATGGGGCCTTTTTAGAAAAATCTGGAACTTTCATATCTCTGCACCCTGATCATTTAATGTCTCAACTTTTGTACTTAACAAAGGCTCTGTGCACCACACTACACTCTTGTTTCATTATTCCGCAGCCTTGTTGCCCTATGGTCTACCTCCTGCTGGGAAGGTTAAATGTTAGAGTGCCAAGCCAGACTGCAAGCATGGTGGGACACTGATGGGAAACAGATGCCCTGGGGATTCGGCCCCTCCCTCGTATAGGACTACATAATTCTCATTTTCTGAAATACAGTGAGGCTTGGCTTAGTTCTCAATGGCAGCTGTAATTTCCAAAGCCTATCTCATTCACCCTATCACTTCAGGATAAAGCAAATCAGGCAGAAGTTGCACAGGCAGGCAGGCTCTGCCTTTGTCTTGGGGTTTTCTGGGCGTTGGGATGTAAGCAGTTGTCTCCCTCAAAAGGTGTTTTAAATATGTTGTCCCATCAAAGCATTAGTAATGCACCTTTATTACATCCTAAGGACAGGAGAAGTTCCTGATATTCTCACAATTCTTTGGAACATCTTTACCCAGCAATAAGAGAGAAGGATGATCCCAGGGAAGACAAAACAAATGGCTTTTGCTTGCAGTTCTCCTCACTTGTTTTCATTTGCACATTACCAAGAGATGCAATATAGCAAAACCTGCTAAATTTGCAAAATCTGCACTGAAGACATCAGTTAAAGGCATTACTACAAAACAATTCAAAATTCAAAGGCCGTGCACTGAGAGCCAGATTGTCATCTGGTTCAAATCTGCGGCTTTCCTTGTGTGCAATGGAATGACACCAGCTCACAACAGCTACAAAACCTGGAACTTACTCCAAGGCTCTTAATTCATTCACTTTGTATTTTGCTGACCGTGTACCTTAGCTCAAGAGACACACTTCTCATGATATCCTGCTGTAGCTTTGTCCAATCTGCATTTACAACGGCATTTTTAAGACTCTGTGATCTTGACCACATGCAGTTATCGCTTTTTAGCAAAATGTGTTAAATAATATCACTTTGAAATACATTACTAGCACCAAGAGAACCACAGCCACTGCCTCCACATTCGGTAACTCTGGTACACGGGTGAGGATGTGAGGTTTGGTTTTGCTCAGGTTGTAATTTCTTTGGGGATAGATGGGAAATACAAATGTCCACATCTGTTTGGACTGCACCATTCTGAAATGCTACCTTCAGCTACGAGTTCAGCAAGGGAACTTGGATGGAAACACATATCTTTGATGTGTTAACTGTTAAGTCCTAACTTAAAACTACCCAGGAACACACTTTTCCCATTAGATCAAAATTAACAGATAGAAACAGTTGCAGTCTAGTGGGAAAATATTCATCAAAATGCACATCATCTGCACATCGTCTGCAATCTGCATCATCTATCCAATAAGCACTGAGAACTCTGCCGGAATCCCTACAGTCTGTCGAGTAAACAGTTAAAGGCGATTTGTTTTCGAAAGGGAGATTGATTCATCACATCAAATTTATTACCTAGAATCCTCATCCAAAAGCACCATAAATTAAATTGCTATTTCTCCATTTTTCCCCCCCAGCATCTTAGTTAAACTCATTCTTAAATGCCAAAAAAACTGCAATACACATTTTAGATAAATGTTAGCAATACTTCATCCCAAAGTAAGACTTCTCATGTTAGAAACACTGCAAACCACAAAGTTCCTATTTTTCCTTGCGCTCTTATAAATTAAAATCAAATGTATTTAGAAGAATTGGCATAAATAAGTCCTTTCCAGGGTTATGACTTTTTATCCCAAGTCTCAGGTCTGCAGGAATTTTCAGAGCCAGATTGCAAATAGGGTTGGATAAAGTTCTTTGGAGCCAACAACAGCTACTTGATCCTGTGCCTAAAACTTCAACTGAACCTTTAGGGAAGTTCAAGAAATTTGGATAGATATTCCGAAAAGTATTTTTCTCACTGAATACTTCTGAACTCCTTTCCCTGGTTGGAGCAGAGGAGGACATAACAGTGACAATCTACTTCTGGCTGCAATGAAAACAGGAAGTAACTGGCATCTTGTGCGAGCTCGATCTCATGAGATATCAAGACATTATGAAGACCTGATT